TACCTGCCAGCACGCTCCTCCCACCACCCGAGCACCAGTGCCCAGCTCTGCCCTCCGAGGCCGCACGGGGGTGGTCACCGCTCTGCCCTTTGACACCAAAGGACCAAGACACTGGTTCTCAGCCAGGCCAGGCCCTACCCTCCCAAAGCCCCCCCCTACCCCCACCCCCATGCCACCGCAGCCTGTGTGGGAGCCGGTCCACACCTCCAGGGGCCGCACGCTGCTGGCTCCTCGGACGCTGGGACTGAGTGGCCACGGCCCAGAGCAGAGGAACAGGGGTCCCTGAGGGGCCAGACTTGGGGGGGCCCTTTCCCCCCAGACCCTTCCTCTTGGGCCTGTTTCTCCACGTGCCCTCCCAGCTCCGAGGCAGCACTACCCGCTGGACATTCACACCACCCGCCCGCCATGAGGGCAGCTCCCTGGCCTTGACGCAGAGCCGGAAGTCAGGTGGGGCTGGAGCATCGCTGGGGTCTCCCACTCCACCCTCCCTTACCCCAAGGGCCGGAGCTCAAAGTGTCAGGGCCGCCCTGCCACGCCACACGCAGGACACTCACCAGGGTGGGAGCCAGCAGGGCCGGGCAGGGGCCAAGGGTCAGCCTGAAAAAAAGGGGGGGGAGCTTCACTCGGGGCTCAGGGTCCCGCCTGCTCCGGAGCCAGGCGAGCGCCGGGCGCTGCTGGTCCTGCCCACACCTGCCCGGGTTTGCATGTGGCATGGATTTCAGGACCTCGTCCTGGATCAGCCAGATGGGCCCTAAGCCCAGGGACACGGATCCCTGGAGGAAGCAGAGGGTACACTGAGGAGATGCCACGTGAGGACAGAGGCAGCGACTGGAGCGATGCGGCCACAGGCCCAGGGAGCGGGGCTGGCGGCCTGGCCGGAGGAAGAGGCCGAAGGAGGGAGTGTGGCCCTGCCTACACTTGACTTTGGCCTCTGGCCTCCAGAACAGAGGAGAGGTGGGTGGTTGTGCAAGCCCCCGGCTGCGGCACTTCTGGCAGCAGCGTGGGAAACTCGGCCCCAGGACTCGCCACCCTTTTCCTGACGACGGTGGGTGTCTGCTCCCAGCTGGTGTGCACCCCTGCCTCCCCGTGTGCACAGCTCTGTCAGGCCTGGCTCACCCGGCTCCCTCCGGGCACGGGCGAGGCCGTGCAGGCCCGCGCCCACCGCTCTTGCTCACGCACCCTGGCCAGCCCTTCCTTGGCTCAGGCAAGTGTGGGGTCTGCCTCCCGCTCCCCACCCTGGGCCCTGTCTCGCAGACCACAGTGGTCTCCACCTGGAAACCTCATCCTCCCCAACAAACGCTCCCTCATCACCTAGAATCTCACCTCCCCCCGGAAATCTCCAAGCCCTGCTCACCAGCAGTCGCCACGGCCAAGGCAGGCCAATGGGTGGGCAATGGGTTCAGTGTCATGTCCACACACGTGGCCAAACCGCCGACATGGCCATGACCAGCCCGGGCCTGGACCTTGCTCAGAGCCAGGCTGAGGAACTGTGGCTGGCCCAACCCATGCGGCTCAGTGGTTGAGTTGATGACCTATAAACCAGGTCGCAGTTCAGTTCCCCCGTTTCGGGCTTTGTCCCCAGTAGGGGGCGTGCAGGAGGCAGCCGATCACTGATTCTCTCATCGTTGATGCTTCTATCTCTCTCTCTCCCTTCCGCTCTGAAATCAATAAAAGATAAAAAAAGAACTGTGGCTGGCAGCCCACTTGAGCCCCAACAAGAACTGATTGGCAGCGAGGCTGCGCCAGGCCCACCAGCGCCC